TGCCCCTCCCAACACCACCCTCAGGAATGGGGAAAGCAGTGGGGAGGAGAGGAGAGTTCAGATCAGCAGCCCTGAGTGTAGCCCTCTCTGGCTCAGTCAGTGGGAAGGGAGGAGCAGGAGCAGGAGCATATCAGGCCACCTCCTCCTCCTTTCCCTCCTCCACCGCCTCCATCCTGGGGTCTGCAGAGCATCAGGGAGGGGCCCATGATGGGGTGAGGAGTGTGGGGAGAGCTGGCAAGGGGCTGTCAGCTGCCTGCCCGCCCCAGGAGGCAGGCGGGACGGATGATGCGGCAGGGGCTGCCACCGGGGGCCTTGGGAGGCGAGTTCATCACTGAAATGTGCCTCCCAAGTGCGCAGCGGCGGCAGCCGCTCTGCCTGCCATCCCTCATGCTGTCCCTGGGCTTCCTGGGGCCGCCTTAATGGCTCTGCCGCCCCACTGACAGGGCCATAAACCGCATGACAAATGAGCGTGGGGCTCGGCGCAGGTGGGAGCCCCATCTGTCCGCGCCCCACCCAGGCTTGGCCTGTGCCCGAGCCTTGACCCCCACACGCCACCCCTGCCGCTTCTCCAGGTCAGATGCAGAAGCCATTCGAAGATGCCTCCTTTGCGCTGCGGACGGGGGAGATGAGCGGCCCCGTGTTCACGGATTCCGGCATCCATATCATCCTACGCACGGAGTGAGGGCTGTGGGTGGCTTAGGCCTGGCCTGCAGGGGCGGGTGGGGCGGAACAGGGATGGCTGGGCCCACAGACTCTGCTCCCTGCTGTCGGCTGGCCAGCGGGTGCCCCTCCCTGCTGACGTCACAGTATTTATTGTTCCCAAAATGGCTGAGGGGAGCGCTTCGCCCTTGGGGGTCCCCCTCTGCCCCCGGCTGGGGCTGTCCCTGCCAGACTCTTCTCCCCTTTAGGAATTGACTTGAGAAGGGCAGGTGGGTGGGGAGGCTCCCGGACTGAAGGGGTGGGGATGACCTGTCCCAAAGAGAAGACCTCGTCAGCCGAGCTGCCCCCTGTGTCCCTCCTCGCCACCCAGGTCCGGACGGGGGCAGGACGGCCTTGTTTCTGGTTATGCTATATTCCTCTGTTCAGCTGCAAAAAGCAAATGCTCCACGTGGGGCCCAGGCTGCCCGCCACCTCGGGGCCCTCACTGGGGGGCAGTGCAGCCCCCTCTGCACCCTCGATTAAACTTGGAACCACTACTGTGCTGTCCTGTGTCTCGATGCCGCCCTGCTGAAGTGAGGGGGGAGCTGTCAGGAGCCACCATCTTCCACTGTCTCTAGTGTCCCAAGTATCCAGGCTGCATCTTATCCCTGAGAAGCCCTCCTTCATCCTGGGCCCGGGTTGGAGGTGGGGGGGTGTCCCAGCAGGGAAGTGGGGCACCAGTGTCTGTGGTCCTCAAACTTGGGCGTTCAAGAATGTTCTAGAATGCAGGGGCAGTGCCCTGACCTCACCTCACATCTCTGGATTCAGTGGGTCAGGGTGGAGCTGGGGATCTGCAGGGGATCCTTGGCGAGACAGACCGCAGCCCGCAGGCCCCCCCCCCCCCCCACCCCACCGGTCCTGGCTGTCCTCTGCGCACGCACACACCCACGAGCCACTCCCAGCTAGAACAAATGACACGCAGCACCCTGAGGCCTGCTTTCCTGTTACCACAAACGTTTCTGGCAGGTTGTTCCTGGGTCCTGCCTTCTTCTCAGGTGCTGTTACCTTAGCAACAGGGGACCAGCCACGAAGGGAGGGGGGCTACTCCCATGTGGCCTGTGGGTGTGCCCCACCTGCCTTCTGTCACCTCCTCACAGCTACCTCTGTGCTGGGGCCTGGGGCAGGGCCCCAGTTCAGTCAAGAGGTTTATGGGCTTAGCCCAGTCCGCTTCCCCTCATTGAATGGGAACCAGCCCAGATTGGGGGCGGGGCCATGCAGGCCAGCAGGGCTTGGGACCTGAACAAAAGAAGCCCTGCCTGGCCCCACCCCAAGGGAGGCCTCTAGGGCTGTCGCAGTAACAAGTCACCTGGGCCAGCTCCCATCTGGCCGGTTTCTAGAGCAATCGCTGTCTGCTTGTGGCCTGCCAGAGTGTATGTCATTAGGAAGGTTTAATGGGCTTCTTCTCCACTCTGGCAGGCTGGAGGGGGGCTGCGGGCTGACTGCACCTCGAGACAGCATCCCCCATCACCTGTGGGGGCCAGCAGCACCAACGATTCTGTGGGGTCGGGGAGTGATCACACTCCTCCGGACCCCCGGAGCCTCTGGGATGGAGCAGAAACAAAGGGGGTGGACAGGGGGACTGAGAGGCTGCTGGGGAGCGTTGTAGGTTTTCCTGTGTGAGGCTGGCCGGGAAATGGTCTTTGTGGCATTCTCTGTCACTTTGGGCATCCAGGCGTGTGTGTGCGCGCGCGCACACATGTGCACCAGCACCCAAGCAGGCCTGTGGCCATGTGACTCTCGTTATCCCTAGGTGTGTGTCCTGTGTGACACTAGGGAGTCCCCGTGACCACCTCCATCCACGGACCTCCTCCTTTGTCTAGCTGTGCAGCCGCCAAACCCAAACACGAAAGAACACCACTGGCCAGTGGACGCGCCCCCGAGCGCACTCAGCCTAAGCGCGACTCATGGTTGAGTAGCTGCGGCTTCCCTCACCTGCTCCACACCCCCGCCCCCCACCTGCCTCCTGCCTGGAGGTGGGGTCGTAAATCCCAGGCCTTCTGGATGGTGACAGCGGTGCAGTCACCCCTCCTGTCCCCTCGGTCTGGCATTCCCCAGCCCAAAATGCCCCGGGGGTGGGGACCGTTTCCAACGTTCTGCCAAGGGCACCAGCTCAGGCTTCTGCGGCCACGTCGCGTTGCTAAGATGGGTCACCTCAACTTGGGGTAACCCAGGCACTGCCACGGGATGGGCTATGACACTTCCCCACTGTAGTCGGGCACACGTCCACAAGGGCGCCCGTCAGGGGCGGTGGCCTGCAGCCTAAGGCGCACAGGGATCCTGGCCTGGGTCGGGGATGGACAGTTACTCCTCCCGCCCATCCCTGGTTGGAAGGAAAGCCACAAACGCAAAAGCCTAAGGGGCACAGGGACTGCCTGTGTGTGTGAGAGAGGGAGAGGGCTGTTCTGATGCCAAGCGCTTGGCATCTGCTGGGGGACCGGCATGCAGAGGTGACACGGACACCCACAGCCAGCCCTGGGTTCTGTGCGCGTCGGAGTGTTTTGAAAGGACAGAGACAGTGGAACTCAGCAGCCCTTGGTCCCCAACCCTACTTTGGGAGTAGGAGAGACCAGTGAACTACTCTCTACCCACACCGTGCTCATTTGGGGGATTTGCCTGCAAATAAACACAGATAGGAGGGCTGGGCTGGAGAGGTCCTAAGTGGCCCCCAACTCTGCCTTTTTTTTTTTCTTAAAGCAGGTACAAAGTGCCTCAATGGGCTTATCTGGGAATCAGTTCTTTTTCAATGTCAAACTTGTTAATTTAAATGGAAATTAATTGCTTTTCTTGAAGATTTCTTTAAAAATTGGTTTTAAATGAGTGCATTAGGCAGTCACATTTATTATTCATTGGTTTCATTTGCAGTATGGCCCTGTGTCCCGAGTTCCCGGAGACGCCAGCACGGAGCTGAGATGATTTAATCAGAGAAGCCATTAATTAGAGATGGGCAGGGGGATGGTAGCTCCCAGAAGAGCAGGTCTGGCTTCCTCCGTGGTCTCAGTGGGGTGGGATCTAGGCCGCTGGGGCTCTTAACATAATATTCTTCTCCAGACTGAGTGGGGGCCATGTGGTGGGGCGAACGGCGGGGGGTGGGGGGCTGGCGGTCAGCACTACCACTCTTGCCCCCAGAGGGGACTCTCCCCACTCTGGCAGTCTCACCTTGGTCACCAGGGTCTGGCTAAAATAAGGCCATTTGTTCTCCCCCTTCTGTGCCCCCCCCACTCCCCACCGCAGTCACATCACCAAGCCTTCTCCAACCTCCTCCCCGCTCCCTCACACTCCTTCCTGCCTCCTGCTTCCTGTACTTCCTAGCTTGGCCGGTCCTTCCCCGTCCAGGAGCTCTGGCCTTCATGTTGGGGCCCATCTCTGCCCAAGCGCCTTTCAGCAAATGGGCTCCAGGTGTGGGGTGAGTGTGGGTTCCGCCGAAGGCCCCCAGTGCCCCCTTCCGGCTGTTTCTACCTTTTTTGTAGTGAACTTAAAACAGAGGCGACTCATTTAAAATGATTTTGAAATTACAAAGCAAAAAGAGAAAAGGAAAAATCTACTGCCCTACTCTCTCACACCCAAATTCTTAAAAGCAGTCAAATTGTTTAAACAAAAAATTAAAAACTCGCCAGATGTTTCAGGGACGCACCAGCGTGATCACTGAGTGAAAAACCAGTGATGGAGAATATTCATTTGAGGCCTGTTTTCCTCGTTGTGATAGAATCCTCGGTTGTTTGGATCACATTGCCGCCAAACAAACTGTTTTCGGACAAAACAACTTTGGCTTGGGTCTCCTCACCTGTCTTCTGGAAGGGCTTGCCCTGCCATGCCGCCCACCTGGCCCCCAGGCTGCGCTTGTCGGCCTGGGACCCAGGGGGCCCAGCTGGGATGGGTCTCCAGACTCCCACTTAGCCTCCACCTTGCCTCCTCTGCCCCACTGGGACACACAGAGCAACCAAAGCATCAAATGTCAAAGGTCCCGTTTATTCCAGCAACCTGGAAAGAAAGTGTAAATAAAAAAAGAAACATTCATGCACTCAACTCCTTGAAGGGGAGGAGGGGGCTCGGAGGGAGGGCCTCGGGGGATGGGTGGGAAGCAAGGAAGGAGGGGAAGGAGGGAAGAGAAGGAGACAGAGCAGCAGACAGGGAAAGAACTGGAGAGTCAGATCCATGAAAAGAAAGAGACGGAGGGACATCAATAAAAAGGCGGAAAGAGTGAAGTATCAAAATCAGAGACCAACAAAGGAGAAAAGACACAGAGAGAATGCACTAGTAGAAATACAGGGGCAGAGAAGGAAAGCCCGGCAAAAAGGGAGGGAGAGGGAATAAAATGGACGGGAGAGGGGAGAGAGAGGGCCCGACAGAGACAGAAAGCTAGAGGGACCCCCAGCGCCCCAAGCGCGGGCAGCCAGAGCTCCCGCAGCCGCTAGGGGTCCCCCGCGGTGCTGATGACGTGGAAGAGGGTGACATTGTAGAGCACCTGGTGGCCGTTGTTCCAGGTGTAGAGGGCCCGCTCCCGGGGGTTGTAATCCAGCATGGAGATGTGGGAGTACTGGTTGTGGAAGGGCACGTCCGTGTACTCGTAACTGGACGTGTTGGTGAAATAGGCGAAGTAGACCTTGGCCCCGGCCAGGTGGGAGTTGGTCACGTAGAGCACGCCGCAGATCATGAAGGCCTCCCCGGCGCTGCGCTTCGGGTAGCCGGTGTCCCAGGAGCGCACGACCTCGAGGGTGTGCGGGTCCAGCCGGCTGACCACGATGTTGCCCGCGTTCTGGTTGGTGGTGTACACGGCCCAGAGCCCGCTCTCGTCCACCATGAAGTCCATATCCGAGAAGCCGCCCCAGGAGTAGGGGAAGGTGTTGTTGTAGCCGGCCCCCGGGAGGCTCCGCTGCACCAGCACGGAGCGCGAGCGAAAATGGTACTTCACCACCACATTGCTCTGGTACTTGTTGTAGAAGAGGGAGCCGTTGTACACCACGTGGCCGGTGCCCGCCCACGGCTGTGGCAGCAGGTGCTGGATAAAGTTCTGGCCTTTGATGAAGTCTCCCAGGGTGCGGAACTCCAGGACCCGCCGGCCCTTGTAATAGCCATCCATGTACCAGACCTACAAGAGAGCCGCTCGTCGCTGCCCAGCCACCCCCGGACCCAGCCACCCAAAGGCCCCAGCAACCACACGGGCATCACCCAGGGTCATTAGGGATCCACGTCACTACGTGGTCATGAGTCAGTCGTGGGATGCTCAGTGGCTATTTATGACCAGTCATAGTCCCAATAATGACACCATTTGATCAGGAAACACCACTGGTCTGAAAACAGACACTTGCTACCCAAGGATCAGGGGAAGTCACGGTCCCTGGTGACTCGTGGGGCCCAGGAATTCACCACTCATTGGAGATGGGATGGTTAGTGGCCACTGGACAGGCCTGGGCTGACAAGGTCACTTGAATTCAGCCCTGTAGCCACAGGATGACCTCACCTGCCAGCAGCGTCTCCTCTCCCATCGCCACCTATGGTCGCCATGTCAGTTAGCAGGGGTGAGTGCCCCCATGAGCGCCGATGATCGGGCCAAGTGTTTTAAAAACTTCCATGCCAACACAATCATGACCATTTTGAAGATACAGAGATTGAGGCTCAGAGACACTAAGGAACCTGCCCAAGGTTCTCTAGCTAAGAATTCGGGGGCAGCAGGATGCAAATCCAAGTCTGATTCCCAAACCCAAGCTCTTTACCACTTGGGTGAACCACCATAATCCCTGGGAGGCCAGTGATCCTAGTGAGACACTGGCTATTGACTACCTCTAGTCTGTGACACTCAGTGACGGACTGGTGATCGGTATCAGTCACTAGGATAGTCACTGGGCAGTTAGTGGGTGGTTCCTGTGGGTCAGAGGTGATGGGCATTCGTGACCATAGAGACCACTGGAAGTCTGAAGGTCAACAGACTTGGTTATTCTCAGGGCTGGGAGGTCCTCTGTCACCTGCTGGTTGCTAGACAGTAGAGGGGAAGGCCAAGGGCCCCGGAGATCCTAGGACACTTCAGGCTACAAGAGAGGCACTGGTGTGGAATTGCTGGGCACCTGTGGACAGCCACAGGTTGTCTCCCCCAGGCTCTGACCCTTAGGGTGGGCACAGTCACTCACCCGGCTATCCGCACTGGGGGCCATTGTGTCGGTCATCCAGGAGCCGAAGCGGGACCCCATGGCCCGAATGGTGATGGGGTTACTGACCCCAGTCAGCTTCCCACAACCTGGGAGGCAGGAACAGGGTAGATGAGGGTAGAGGATGGAAGGAGCCCGAGTGGAACAGGGCAAGGATGATGTGGTATGATCCCACTGGGAAGAGCTGGGACCAGGGTAAGGAGGGATCCAGAAACCTGGTCCCAAGATGGAGTTAGGTTGCAGGTAAAGGGACTGGGAGTCAAGGGTCAGGGCCATTTCCAGTTTGGGGGTCTATTTTAGGCATTGGGTAGAGAAGTCAAAGGTCAAAGTTTATAAGTTAGAGGTCAAAACTATGTCCAGCTTTTGGGCCCCCAGGGAGTATTAGGGATGAGCGTGGAGGTCAGGGGTCAAAGTCAAGGGTCAGGGCATACCCAGCTTCTGGGCGCAGGCATGGAGCCGGGCCTCCAGGGCCATCACCCGCTGCTGCAGGTCCTCGTAGCCGTAGGCACCCATCTCCTCCTGGATGGCCGCAAGGCTGCTGGAGAGGTTCCTCACCTCCTCCCGCAGGCGCACGATGGTGCGTGTGTCCGCCTTGTACTGCTCCAGGACTGAGCTCAAGGGCAACAGCTCCGACATCCTGTCCTTCAGCTCCTGCCCACCAAGAGGGAACCCTCACTGATCCTAACCCCTGACCTTTGACCCAGCCTTTGACCCATAACTTCACCCCCCTATCTCTGATGCACACCGGGCCCTTGACATTTGGTCCACGGTAGACCCTGGAGCCCAGCCTACCCTTGGTTCTTCCCAGACATGACCCCACTCTCAGAACTAACGGACGCCGATCCCAATTCTTCCCGTGGCCTCTGACCCGACCCAGAAGGACCCACCTGGAAGCTCTTGGTTGAGAGGGACCCGTCGGCTGCCCGGAGTCGTGCGTCCAGGCTTCTCATGAGGGTCTCCATGCTGCGCACGTACTGGAGGTCGCGGTACGTCCGCAACTCAAGGACCTCCATGGACTGGGAGACGTTCTGGACCTAGGAGCTTGGGAACGTTATGGAGAGCCAGACTCCTGCCCTCCCCGAGCCCTGAGATGCCACAGATGAGGCCTGGTGGAGCCAGACGGAGGCCAATGGCCCTCTCCTCCCCCCCAGTCAGTTCTTCACACAGCAGCCAGAGGGAGCTGTTTAAAAGGAAGTCCCTGAGGGCCAGTCCTGCCTCCTCACCATGTTCATCCACAGCGACCACCAGCCCCTTTCCTCTCACGGACTCTAAGCAACTTCCCTCCTCAGAGCCTTCCCACCTGTCGATTCCTCTATGGGGAGCGCTGCTCCCCTCTTCTTGCCACGCTGGCTCGCTCATCCTTCCGGCCTCATCTCCAGCGTCACTTGCTCAGAGTGGCCTTCCCTAACCCTCCTGCTTCCAATAGCTCCTCATCCTTTCTCCCATCCTTTCTCCCTGGTTATCTTCTTCCCAGCCACAGCTACCACCTGGAACATTCTAACTTATCTGCCTCCTTCAGGTGAGATCCTCACAGGCTGACCCAGTGTCTAGCTTGTCCCCAGCGAAATCCCCAGTGCCCAGCATTAGCCTAAATTAGATGCTCAGTAAGTGCTTTTCAGCTCTGAATGAACTGAATTCCCTTGCCCTGTGTGCTTCTTGGGTTGGAGGGTGAGACGACTCCCCAAGGAACACAAGACATTTTTCTCAGCAGGTGAGTCTGGTGAGCTGAAGAGCTGAGCAGGGTGTGTGTAGTGAGGCCCGAGATCACACACGGGAGACTCGGATGCTGTCTGTCCTTTCCCCACACAACCCTCAGCTTCTCCAAAGAAGCCCCGAACAGATATTCACTAAAATATCCACGTGGAGGGGAGCCGGGTGATCCACCAGCTCTGAACAATCTGCATGGCTAGATCTGGCCCCCAGCTGGCCTGGATGGGGGCCGAAGGCAGGGTGGGAATTGGGAGATTTTCACAGTCTTCTGGGGCACCCAGAAGGTTCTTACCTTCTCCATCAGCTGCCGCAGCTCCCGGCTCCGACCATCGCGGGAGCAGGTGCTCTGTGCGGGGATCACGGCCGTGCAGATGCATTTCCCGTCAGGGGCCTGGGCCGAGGTGTACAGCTGCCAGCCTTCCTCTGGGCTTTGGAAGAGGGTCTGCAGGGAAGTCAGGGGTCAGAGAGCAGGAACCCAATGGGGGAGTCACCCTGCCCGTGCTGGGGGAGAAAGAGGACCCAGGGAAATGACAGATGCCCTGGAATGTGCTGGACCATGTGCTGAATGCCTGATGCGTGTGATCCCAATCCCTCCTCAAGGAAACCCATTTTACAGATGATGAGACTGAGGTATAGGCTGTTAAGGAGCACGGCAAGGAATTGAGGGTTTCAAGCCCTTCCACAAGACAGGAATTCATTCTCTCCCACATGCTCACATACACGCAGCACTGCCTCCATAACTGTCCACAGGGCACAGACCCACTGGTACTGATCCCCAAACCTGGACCTCCCTCTCGGCTTTCCCAGTGCACTGTGAAACATGGATTCTGCATACAACTCAGGGGCTGCTAAGTGCAGCCCTACTGTTGTTATCTCTCACCCCACCCCTGCTCCTGAGAAGCCCAGGTAAGGTAATGGCCAAAGGGTGACAGAATCCTTATAGGGACTTCTAGGCCCTTGAAAAGAAAGCATCATGGCAGACTCCTACATTCAACTTCAGGTCAGTTTATAGGTTTAGAGGTTTAGATAATTCAGGGATCAATCGTGGCTGTTGTCCAAGCCACACTCCTTGGAACACTGGCAATCTTTCCAGGCATGCGTGGTGAGCAAATAAACCCGGGCATTGCTGGGTAAAACAAGTCCCTTTGATGCAGGACTTAACAGAGCCCTTGAGGGCTAATGTGCATCAGGAACTCCAAAATTTTCTACACCTACTAGAAAATACAAGTGCCCATTCTATGCATGGCATAGATGGTCTGGGATAGGGCTAGGAAGAGAGGGATGAAGAGAATGTCTGGCCGCTGCCTGTGGATGGAGGAGGCAGACATCAAACATGTAACCCCCCCCCCCAATACTTCTAGAACTACTCGTGGCAGTGAATGCTGCAAAGAAAGTGCAAGGAGTAACACAGAGTCTTCCTCAGGCTGGGGATTTCAGAGGAGGTACCCCAGAGGAGGGACATTTGAGTTGAACTTGAGGGATGAGTGAGCCAGGAGAAGGGGATAGGGGAAGGGACACTTTTGACAGCACAAATTCAAATCAATATCTGGAGGTATTTAAGAAACATCGCTCAAAAAGCACTAAATAGGGATGCCTGGGTGGCTCAGTGGGTTAAAGCCTCTGCCTTCAGCTCAGGTCACGATCTCAGGGTCCTGGGATCGGGCCCCGCATAAGGCTCTCTGCTCAGCGGGGAGCCTGCTTCCCCCTCTCTCTCTGCCTGTCTCTCTGTCTAATTGTGATCTCTTTCCCCCTGTGTCAAAAAAATTAAAAAAAAAAAAAAGCACTGAGTAATCACTGGATGGAACATGGGGGGCCCCCAGAGCAGGACCCCTTGAACTTCCCCAGAACATTCTGGACTTAGTCACAAGTCTCAATCTTTTCGTTTTTATCAGGGCATAATGGTCTCCTTTGTTCAGGAAATATTTCGTAAGTTCCTACTGTGTGTCAGGCTCTATTGCGGACACTGAAAACACAACAGTAAACAAAATGCGCAAACACAAAAGCTCTTCTAGAAGCTTATGTTAGACAAAGACAGAAATAGACAAGTAAATGCCAAATATTTAAAGGGTGATGAGTGCCACAGAGAAAAGTAATATAGGGAAGTAATAATGGCGGGGTGCTGTGGTTGGGGGTTGCAATTTTAAGGTGGCTTGGGAGGGCCTCCAAGAAAGTGCCATTTGAGTCAAGACCTGAAGGGGGTGAGGGATGAGCCATGCAGATACCTGGGCATGTTCCAGGCAGAGATAAAAGCAGGTACAAAGGCCCTGAGGCAGTACCATGCCTGGTATGTTGAGGAAACATAGGGAAGGCTGGCATGGCTGGAGGAGGGAGAAAGGTCGTGGGGCAGAGGGAGGGAGCAGGACAGCTTGTTCAGGACCTGTGGGCTATTGGAAGGACTTCACGGTTTTCCCTGAGGGAGGTGGGAACCACAGATGCTTCCAAACAAGGAGGGAGGTCACCAGATTCAGGGGCTCACAGGCACCCTCTGGGGGCTATTGGGGGGACAGACTGGGGAGCAAGAACAAGACCAGGGCCAATGAGACCACATAGGTCCAGGTGAACAGGATGGGTGGTGGCTGTAGAGGTGGGCAATGGAAGATTCTGGTCCTAACCAGGATGTGTTCCTACATACCTGGAAGAAATTTTGATAAAACCCAAGTGTTTTACAGAGAAACAAAGCCCCACAATAATTGTTCATTTGGACAGCTGTTAACTGATTACCCCACAGAAGCTGTTCCCATGAGCTGTAGCAGAGTAAGCCAGAGTAACCTGTGGGTTATAAGCAATCCTGGAGATGCCAGCTATTAGCGCACCTTTTTTTTTTCCTCTTCCACTCAATAAAGTCTTTTTTTAAAGCTTATTGTAATGTGAGCAACTGATGTAATTGTACAGATGAGCTTGACTCCTCCACTAATTTATAAGGGAAAAAACCATTCATAAACGCCATCTGAAATTATTGTAATTAGTCATTCTTTTTTTTTTAAAGATTTTATTTATTTATTTGACAGAGAGAGATCACAAGTAGGCAGAGAGGCAGGCAGAGAGAGAGGGGGAAGCAGGCTCCCCGCTGAGCAGAGAGCCCGACGCGGGGCTCGATCCCAGGACCCTGAGATCATGACCCGAGCCGAAGGCAGTGGCTTAACCCACTAAGCCACCCAGGCGCCCCTGTAATTAGTCATTCTTTGTGCCTTGGGTTCACCCTTTTGAAGTTGGGGAGATCCCCCTTTTTACCAGTCCATGTCTCCTCCATGGAGCAATGAAGTCACCCACCTTCCCAGCCTTTCTCGCACACAGGGATGATTCAGGTAGAGCCAACACTCATGGCTCCCCAGGCCTTCAGTGCAGCAGCACCCCCCCCCCCCCCCCCCCCCCCCGCAGTCCCCAACAGTGCCACATAGGAGTTAGTGATAGATTTCAGCTGCCCTCTCACCTCTCCGGTAGGAAGGCTCTGACTGGCCTGCTGCAGACAATTCTCCAGGGGACCCCACTGGGAGCTGTGCTCCAGGTGCCCATGGCAGCGCCCTGCTCCTTAGCTCGCTCTGCATGGGGGTCCTTCACTTCCCCGACCGGTTCCTGGTGGTATCACCTCCTAGGTGGGTACTTGCACTCAATCCCCTCCACTAGCTCTGCTTCTGAGGGAGTCCCACCTAAGACAAGAATGGGGGACCCAAGAACGCCTTCCGCCTCAATTCCAGGAGAATGTAAGACTAGCTTTGTCTCCTTTCATCACAAATCCGGTTCTTTAAAACAAAACAAAGAAGTTGGCGCCTAAGCACCCCCATTCGTGTTCCCTCGGCTCTGATCTCCAAGCAATTTGGACAGACCCCCCTCCCCCCCTCCAAGATTCTCATTTGTGCAGAGACAATGCAGCCCGGTTCAACATAATTAACATCTCCTTTCTACAATTCCTAGTGTGTCCTTTGAAGCAAACAAGCCATTTTCTCTCAACATACGAAATATTGAATTGTAAAAGAGAACCAAGATTTAAGTGGCAAGGAGAGAAGGCCTCCACGGCTTTCCTAAAATAATTGTCTGCGTTGGACGCACCTCGCTGAAGTGTTCTCTGCAGCAGTGTAATTAAATGCCTGGGGCCTGGCTGCCAAATCTGAGCACAGCAGAGATCCCCGAGTTTCGCCTGGCAGGTTCAAGTTCAAATCCACAGTCAAGTTCACGTCCCCGGGAACCACTGGAAATGTCCTGAAAGGCTCCCTGTTGAAGAGTGCAAATGCCAGCTCTCTAACTGTGTTTAGCTTGGAACCTCGGTCATGAACTCTTGGGAGGTAACAGTCCTAGGGACAGAGAATGGCCCATCCTAAGAAAAATGCTTTTAACAGCAGGCGCAAGAACACAGGAACTGTCCAGGTACAGAAACCTGAGATCAGGTGGCCTGTCTCACCTCAGAAGTGGCAAATGTACTGGCGAAGCCAGCTGCTCTCTTGGCTGAGCTGCTGGTTCTGAGTTTGATATTCCTGCTAATGGGCTCTAAGCGGGTAAGCTCTGAGCTCGAGTAGCTGTTTCTCAAATTGTCTTTTCTGGCTGGGATTTCTTTCAAATACTTTTGCTGAGGATGATGCCCCAATTAAGCAGCAGTCCCCGTAACAGGTCCAGGACTGACACGCAGGAAAAATTATTCTCACTGTCACACCTGGAATCATCATCTCAGCCTCCAGCATTGCCACCTCCCTCTTGGTTCCAACACAGTCCCTGGTTCCTCCAGGGGCGGGGGGATGGCTATAGAACCTCAGGGCAGCCACCCATGGAGAACTGGCCATCCGGGGTTAGCCAGCAGGAAGAGAGCGAGCAGCTGCCTCTTAATAAGACAGGGATATTATTGCATTTGAGGCCGGGTAATTTAATCAGGAGGCAGAAGTGGCTTGGGGCTTATGTATTTATTTGTACCCTGCCCTGTTCCAGAGGACTCCAAGCGGTTTACAAGGATATGTAAACTACCACACGATAGCTTCAATTAGATAGCTGAGAGGATATTCGATGTTTCTGGACGGCAGTCTGCCAATCCTGAGCCAAAGCCTCAAGGTTCCTGCATTTGCATTTAACCCAGCCAATCCCAGAGGAAGAATTTAGCCCAGGGGAATCGTGTGGACCAGCTCGCAAGTGTTACAAGGATGCTCATTTAAAGTGCTGTTTCAAATTGGACCACTGGAATTTCCCCCCTGCAGTGTTTGAGGGTAGGGGGCTTTTGCACATGCACAGCAGGGAATACTATGCAGCCATGAAAAGGGGAGTTTAGTGGCAATTTTTATTGTCATCTTCAGATTGGTCTTATCTTCTAAATTTCTCGATCCTTTAAAAAATTTTTTTTTTTTTTTTTTGCAAGGGAGACAAGGAAGGAAGGGAAAAGTGGGGACATAGAGCCAGAAATTAGGCTAAGAACAACTCATCCCTTTAAAACCCGAACAACCAGCATATG